AGATTTATTGGATCCTCACTTTGTGCCAAGAACTCACCCAAGTGCTTCACATGCATTAACTCATTTAATCCTCACAGCAGCAACGCTATGAGGTCAGTTCTGTTAAACAAGCCAGGCGATTTTATGTGCTGCCCCAGGAGAGGGGACGTTTGGTGAGATGGGGCGGTCTGGAGGCACCGAGGCCTGAGCTTCAGGCCAAGCCTCTCAGGCAGACCTACTGGCCTGAGCCCCCATGAGTGCGTGATTGAGGACAGCACCCGCTGTGGGCAGTGGGGACAGATCCCGGCTGCTCCAAGCCTGACATCTTCCTCGGGAGCCCTCAGGCTGGTTGGGTGACATCTCTCCGTAGACGAGGCCACGACTGGGTAGCCAGGGAGAGACAGCCGCTCTCTGGGTCTCAGTTTCCCCGGGTGCACTGGGAGGGGGCAGGACCAGAAGCTCCCGGAGGCCCCTCCCAGTCCCTGGGTTCCAGGCAACAGGTATTGGCTGCGTGCAGACATGCTGATTACTGAGTGGGATTGCCCTGGCTGGGAAACTTGGAGGCAGGTGGACCTGAAAAGATGGGCACGGGTTCCTCAGGCCTCAGCATGAAGCTGGAGCCAGGCCGGGCGGCCCTGCTGGAGGTCCAGCAGGTCCTCTGCGAAAAAGAAGCGAGGAGCATGACGGGCTTCAGGCCAAATTTCCTTCCTGCCTCACATCAGAAGATAGCAGAGCTCCAAGGGCCCTTGGAAGTCTTTACTGACGGGGAAATTGAGGCCTGGCGAATTGCCCGAGGCTCACACTTCAACTTAGTGTCAACCAGAGTAGAATGTTGGTGTTCCAGGCTCCCTCCAAAAGTTATGCTCTGTGGCATTAAAATAAGAAGGAGTCTCCTTCCAGGGAACCTCGTGTTCAGGGAATGTGAACGATGGTATTAAACTAAAAACGTCCCAACCCACCAACCAACCAAGCCCAGGGCTTCGAGGCTAATTATGTGTTTGCTCATGAGTCACGGTGCTTCTGCTGTGACCCGAAGCCGGAGCGCCCTGGTTCGCGCGCTTCTGCTCACGGGGAGGGACTGCATCAGAGCGCCCAGGTGAGCTGTCAGGTTGTCCTTCGGTTTGTCTGCTCGGCTTGCTGACTTCATGGGCCACTGATAGACGCCAGGCTATTCCCCTTTCCCGGGAGCTGGACAGGGGCTGGACTGAGTCACTGAAGTGATTGAGGACGCTCTCGGCTGCCTGGAGAAGTTATAATTAGGGCAGCTTTGTGGCCCTTTAACCGCCATCTGTCACAGCTGCCAAGCGGCTCCAGGCAGCGTGGGCTATTAGGCCTCCATGTGCTGGGCTCCTGGAGGCTGCGGCCACCACGCGAGCTGGCACTACGCGCTGAGAATCCAAGGGCCCAGCTGTCCGTCCCGGTTCTGTGGCCCCTCCCTCCCCTGCGGGCTTTGCAGCTGGGTTTGAGGGGAGCTCTTTGGAGGTCCTGTGGAGCCCTGGGCGCCAGCCACAGCAGTCAAAAGTGCTGGAAAACAGGAAACTGCTGCATGTGGTGCTGGGGTGGGCTTTGCAGATGTGAGGATTTATAAAGAGGAAAATCTGCAAATTCTTGCAATATTTGTCATGCTGAGTGTGGTCCATTTTAGACAGTGGTGGCCCTGTTCCCGTAGGGAATTATCTCTGCAGTCCTCCCAGGTCAAGAGGCACCTTCCCCTGGCACAAGCCCTTCCTGGACTGGCTTGATGCCCCTCCCCAGCTGGGGGGTGTAGACTCAGAGAAAGCCACATAAAGATGGGTCCTCAGAGGGTGCCTCGTCCTACACTGCCATTCATAGATGGGAAACTCAAGATTGCCCTGGGCTGGCCAGGTGACGTACACTTAATTTAGTCTCTGACACTTGGGCTTTGACACCATTTTGAAGCACGTTGGGTATATGAGTGTATATTAAATATAAGCGCCAGCTAGCTTGTCTCCAGGAGCAATTCAAGCTCCACCTTTTGTACATCAGCCCAGGCAGTAAATATCTCACATACACTTCCACCAAAGAGATGGGCAAACACCCACTGTCCACACAGACCCCTAAGAGCACAGGCACCGTTGTCTTGGTGGACAGATTGTTTTCTCATGCCCTGGAACTCAGCCTTAGAATCCTAAGATCTTAGGAATGGACAGGACACCAGTTGTCTTCCAGTCGAATACCCTACCAGGCGTGGGAATCTTCTCCACAGCTTGCTTACCAAGTGGTTGCTTTAGCCTCTGCTGGATGGCTTCCAGTGACAGAGCTTACTCCCTCTGTGAGGTTGCCCATTTTGACTCTGGATAGGCTGTCTTCCGCGGTGAACTGAACTCTGCTACTCTGTGACTTCTGCACCCGTTTGACCTCTGGAGCCACACTGAGCTGGCTGCTTTCTGTATCCCGTGGCAGCCCTTCAGGGATGCTAGAAAAGTGACTATGGCTCCTCCCAGCATCTCTTCCTCTGGTTACGGATTCATCCACAGCTCGTTCACTTTAATTTTAATTTAATTTTTTTCTCACCATGTCTTAGGGTGCTGACACAGTTCCTTCAATGGATGCTCAGATGTTCTGCTTTCTAGACCCCCTCACCATCCTCTAGAATTCTTCAGGAAGTCAGTTTGTCATTAGCCTTTTGAAGTTCAGAGTGGAACTGAGCCCAGCACTATAGGTGTGGCCGTGTCAGGGCAGTGTAGGGTGAGACCATCACCTCCTTTTTTCCACATGTAATACTTCTATTAATCCAGTCTCAGACCACACTAGCTTTTGTGGGCAGCCTCCTTCCTTTGTTATCGTTAGTAAAAAGTCCTAAGTCTTCTCCTAGGGTGAATATTGAGCCACTTTTTTTGTGTGTGCACTCTCTTTAGGCAGCTCATTTTCTGTTGTCAGCTTCTGGACCTGACATTTATCGATATAAATTAATGTTTTTAGATGTGTCCCTAGCGTAATCTGGCCCCATTCCTTTGCATCTAGATGCCATTGGACAGGTATTCTTTTTCCTTTCTTATTTCCATTGTTCTATATACTTAGTCAAGTTCTTAAAGGAAAAGTATAACAGGTCAGGGCTTGCATAGGCTGTGAACAAATAAAAAAATTAAGGTCTCAGCTGGGCACGGTGGCTCACGCCTGTAATCCCAGCACTTTGGGAGGCCGAGACGGGTGGATCATGAGGTCAGGAGATTGAGACCAGCCTGACCAACATGGTGAAACCCTGTCTTTACTAAAAATACAAAAGTTAGCCAGGTGTGGTGATAGGCGCCTGTAATCCCAGCTACTCAGGAGGCTGAGGCAGGAGAATGGCTTGAACCTGGGGGGTAGAGGTGGCAGTGAGCAGAGATTGTGCCATTGCACTCCAGTCTGGGGGACAGAGCAAGACTCTGTCTCAAAAAAAAAAAAAAAAAAAAAAAAATCAAGGTCTGTGTGGTTGGGGAATGGGCTTAGGTTTTTATCTCAGAGTAAACTTGTTGGGGAAGGGCAGGGAAGGGATGCGTGGGGCTGAGGCCAAATTGGGAAGCCTGAGTTACTCTGAGACGTGGGCCAGGCTCCAGACCCCATGAATTCAGAGCCACAAACAGAGACCAGAGAAATACCTTCTTTACCCAACCATTGACGGCTTCTATGCCATCATTTGAAATTCCTTTCTCTGACTCAAGAATTTTGCTCATGGAAAGGGAGGCATAGCACTAACACTCAAAGTGCTTCCCTAGGGGTCTGGAGACCTGGCTTTAAGCTCAGAGGCCTTTCCTTGCTTCTTGCATCCCCATAAAGTGATGGAAATGAGTGGCCGGCAGTGACTGCTGAATCTTCCGGGAGTTTGGATCTTTGAACCTTTGGTGGAAGTTGGAGATACTTTCACATGTACACAGAAATTCTTAGTCCCTTGACTACGAATGCCAAGACCAGAAGCACTTTGAGGCCCTCCTGACTTTAAGAGTCTATAGGGTCCATGCTGTGGACAAGCATGGAACAACGACACGCATTTGCACAGCACTGGCCGGGATGGCCCTGCATCCTTTCCCCGTTCGTTCCTCATAACAGCCCCAAGAGCGGGGCAGGAGTTACCATCCCCTCTTCACACACGAGGGAGCTGAAGCTTGCAGGCCTCAAGCTTCATTCAAGGTGAAACTACTGGTGATCCTTAAATATTCATATAGGGACTAGCACCCATGTCCCATATCTCTACATTTTACACACACACACGCGCGCACATACACACAGAGTTACATATGTCATTGTCATCAGTGATTTCAAACACCAACATTTCCATGAACTTGCCTCCATTTTCAGAACATCACCACGTCTGACCTACCATCTTTTAGCTCAAATTACACCTCAGTAGGTTTTCTGGAACTTACTCAAGGACTCCCCAGTGTTTCTTGTGGAAACTGGGACTTATACCCACAAGACTGGCTTCAGGCATCAGCTAAGCCACAGCAGCCTCTCCCAGCAAGGCAAGACGTGGTACAGACATGTCATTTCTTTTTCCTGGGAGGGTGGTTTGAATTCGACCTAGACGAATCACAGGTGAAAGGGCTAACAGAGGGCTAAGTGGTGGTTGGTGGTCATGGGCTGGGCAGGGCAGGCCCAGGCGAGGGTGAGGAAGAGCTGCTTCCACTGTAGCCTTTCAGGCAGATCCTAGCTCTGTGGTCCTAACTCTGCTGCTGCACCTCCCGGCAGGCCACTGTCTTTGTGGCCTCATCATCTTCCCCCAGGTTCAGCCCTATTTATTTGTTCCCATTGTCTCCGTGTTCCTCCTGACAAGGCTGTGTTTAACCAGCACATTCAGATGATGTGAGGGATACAGAGATGAATAAGATACAGTTCCTGCCCTAAGAACCTATAGGTAAGTAGGTAAGATACAGTTCCTGCCCTAAGGAACCTGTAGGGATGAAAGATGAATTCCATGTCCATGGAAAGCATATTGGCTGGGGAAGGAGACAGACAGGGACACAGTGAATGCCATCCAAGGCCACCGTGGCATGGCCAATGATGGAGACTGGGAAGATAACTTCATGGAAGGGTAACTGATTGACTCACGGAATCTGGGAAGTGTCCTAAAGGTGATTGCACTGGAGCTGGACTTGGAAGCATGGGACAATTTTGTATAAGGACAAGGCGCACTCCAGGTAGGGAGAATTGCCTGGGCAAAGACATGGAAGCAGAAAGGCAGGGGCAGAGGTGCAGAGGCTTGCTGGCCGGAGCAGATGGAGCATGAATTCAGCATGTGATGATGGGGTTCAAAGCCAAGCCAGCGTTGGCACTGCAAGTTGATGTTGGCTTAAAACTTGCCAGTATTGGTTAGGGGACCCTGACTAACATGTGCTCTCTCCCCCTGCAGAGGCTATGCCACTGAAGCATTATCTCCTTTTGCTGGTGGGCTGCCAAGCCTGGGGTGCAGGGTTGGCCTACTATGGCTGCCCTAGTGAGTGTACCTGCTCCAGGGCCTCCCAGGTGGAGTGCACCGGGGCACGCATTGTGGCCGTACCCACCCCTCTGCCCTGGAACGCCATGAGCCTGCAGATCCTCAACACACACATCACTGAACTCAGTGAGTCCCCGTTCCTCAATATCTCAGCCCTCATCGCCCTGAGGATTGAGAAGAATGAACTGTCACACATCATGCCCGGGGCCTTCCGAAACCTGGGCTCGCTGCGCTATCTCAGCCTCGCCAACAACAAGCTGCAGGTTCTGCCCATCGGCCTCTTCCAGGGCCTGGACAGCCTCGAGTCACTCCTTCTGTCCAGTAACCAGCTGGTGCAGATCCAGCCGGCCCACTTCTCCCAGTGCAGCAACCTCAAGGAGCTGCAGCTGCATGGCAACCACCTGGAATACATACCCGACGGAGCCTTCGACCACCTGGTGGGACTCACGAAGCTCAATCTGGGCAAGAATAGCCTCACCCACATCTCACCCAGGGTCTTCCAGCACCTGGGCAACCTCCAGGTCCTCCGGCTCTATGAGAACAGGCTCACGGATATCCCCATGGGCACTTTTGATGGGCTTGTCAACCTGCAGGAACTGGCTCTGCAGCAGAACCAGATCGGGCTGCTCTCCCCTGGTCTCTTCCACAACAACCACAACCTCCAGAGGCTCTACCTGTCCAACAACCACATCTCCCAGCTGCCGCCCAGCATCTTCATGCAGCTGCCCCAGCTCAACCGTCTTACCCTCTTCGGGAATTCCCTGAAGGAGCTCTCTCCGGGGATCTTCGGGCCCATGCCCAACCTGCGGGAGCTTTGGCTCTATGACAACCATATCACTTCTCTACCCGACAACGTCTTCAGCAACCTCCGCCAGTTGCAGGTCCTGATTCTTAGCCGCAACCAGATCAGCTTCATCTCCCCGGGTGCCTTCAACGGGCTCACGGAGCTTCGGGAGCTGTCCCTCCACACCAACGCATTGCAGGACCTGGACGGGAACGTCTTCCGCATGTTGGCCAACCTGCAGAATATCTCCCTGCAGAACAACCGCCTCAGACAGCTCCCAGGGAATATCTTTGCCAACGTCAATGGCCTCATGACCATCCAGCTGCAGAACAACCAGCTGGAGAACTTGCCCCTCGGCATCTTCGATCACCTGGGGAAACTGTGTGAGCTGCGGCTGTACGACAATCCCTGGAGGTGTGACTCAGACATCCTTCCACTCCGCAACTGGCTCCTGCTCAACCAGCCTAGGTTAGGGACGGACACTGTACCTGTGTGTTTCAGCCCAGCCAACGTCCGAGGCCAGTCCCTCATTATCATCAATGTCAACGTTGCTGTTCCGAGTGTCCATGTCCCCGAGGTGCCTAGTTATCCAGAAACGTCATGGTACCCAGACACATCAAGTTATCCTGACACCACATCCATCTCTTCTACCACTGAGCTAACCAGCCCTGTGGAAGATTACACCGATCTGACTACCATTCAGGTCACCGACGACCGCAGCGTTTGGGGCATGACCCAGGCCCAGAGCGGGCTGGCCATTGCTGCCATTGTCATTGGCATTGTTGCCCTGGCCTGCTCCCTGGCTGCCTGCATCGGCTGTTGCTGCTGCAAGAAGAGAAGCCAAGCCGTCCTGATGCAGATGAAGGCACCCAACGAGTGTTAAAGAGGCAGGCTGGAGCAGGGCTGGGGAATGATGGGACTGGAGGACCTGAGAACTTCATCTTTCTGCCTCCACCCCTGGGTCCACGGAGCTTTCCCGTGATTATTCTTTCTGGCCCTAGAGAAAGGTGTGCCTACCTCTTCCTGACCGGCCTGATTCTCCCGTAGAGAAGCAGGTCGCGCCGGACCTTCGTACAATCAGGAAGATAGATCCAACTGGCCATGGCAAAAGCCCTGGGGATTTCTGATTCATACCCCTGGGCTTCCTTCAGGAGGGCTCCTCCTCCAAATCCTCCCCACCTGTCCTCCAAGAACAGCCTTCCCTGCGCCCAGGCCCCTTCCTGGCCTCGTAGACTCAGTTAGTCCACAGCCTGCTCACTTCGTGGGAATAGTTCTCCGCCGAGATAGCCCCTCTCGCCTAACTATTATGTAAGTTGATTTCCCTTCTTTTGTTCCTCTTGTTTGTGCTATGGCTTGACCCAGCATGTCCCCTCAAATGAAAGTTCTCCCCTTGATTTTCTGCTCCTGAAGGCAGGGTGAGTTCTCTCCTCAAAGAAGACTTCAAACCATTTAACTGGTCTCTTACGAGCCGTCAAGCAGCCTGGGTTTGGAGACGCTGTGAAAGAGAAGGAAAATCATGCCGCTCAGTTCCTGGAGACAGAGCCGTCATCAGCATCTCACTTGTGATTTTTATCTGGAAAAGGAAGGAAGACCCCAACACAGCAAGCTCAGCCTTTTAGAGAAGGATCTTTCCAAACTGCAAACTTCGCTTTGAAAACTTTAGCCCTTTAAGGAATGAAATCATGTAGGATTTTGGAATTCTAAAAACATTAAAATCAGCTTATTGGTACAGGATAGAGAAAGAAATCTGGTGCCTGGGGGTCCTTGTGTTCACCCCTAGAGTTCTGTTTTAAAAATTTTAATTGAAGCGTATGTGCAGAAAAGTGGGTACAGCTTGGTGGATTTCCACAAACTGAACATACCTGTGTAATCAGCATTCAGACCCAGACACAGAGCATCACCAATATCCCCCATCCTGGGCTTTTCCCAGAGGAGACCGGGGCTTCTGGAGATGGGCTTACCTAGGACCTGCTCCCCGTGAGCCAGGACGGTCCCCCCACAGCCAGCCTGTGCAAAGGCCCAGTGGCCAGGGGTGGAGGAGAGTATGTGGGTGTGGACAGGATGGGAGACTCCGGCCTGCACAGGAGATCTGATTAAATCTGGAGACCCTGAAACCTGGGGCACCCTGGCTGGCCAGGTCAGAAGCATCCTGACTGCAGAGGTCCGTGCAGCCACACCCCCTTCCCTGCCAGCAAGCTGTCTGCGGCTCGTCGGAGGCCCCTCTGCCTGGAGCCTTTTATGGGCATGACATGCCTGTATCTGTTTTTAATTTTCATTCTTCACTTAGGGGAAGTGAAATAGCTCAGAGATGAGATCCTTTAATTGAAAACCAAGTGTAACGGAATCCAGTGTCTTTCTAATATGGTAAAATTCTCCGTCAGCATCACAGTCAGCTGTCAGCTAAACTTCAGCATCTCACTTACAGCAGGCAACACTGGGGTACAACGACGGGTCACACTCGGTCTGGGGGCTCCCTGGAGCTCCTCTTGCATGTGGTCTGGTTAGGAGTTGAGTTGTTTGCTCCCGGGTTAGTCTCCTCCTCGAGTCACAGTCACACGAATGCCTGTTTTCTCTGGCCTTCCTGCTACAAACATATTCACATGGCGCTCAAGAAGTTAGGCTCATGGCAACATGTGGCTTTCTCCGGACAACTGGCCCAGTTTACAGTGAAATGGAGAATTTCGGGTCTCCATGTCTGCCCAGGAAAGAACTTCGGCTGACTCCGCGGGGACTTGGAAATCCACCACCAATCCTGACGGGCTCTGATTAGTTCCCTGCTCTGCAAGACACTGTGACATCCCCCAGGATCGGAGCACAGCGCTGGCCACGTTTCCCTTCCAGTTCCTGCACAAAAAACGTCCAGAGGGATGTTTGCAAACTCTAGTGCACTTTGTAGCTTTTCACTCTCTGTCCCAGGGAATCTAGGAGAGATGAGGCCGGTCAGAGACAAGACATGTCATCTCCCCATGGCAAATCTGGGTCCCCAGGGCATTTCCAAACTATTGGTAGTACCTGGAGGACGTGCACCAAGCCTTGCCAGGGCCAACAGGAAGTGAGCCCAGAGCATGGCACATGAGCGTCACCCGCTGATGGTGGCCTGCTGTGCCTGGTGCCAACAGGGGCAGCCCGGCCCGCACCCCTCCAGACGGGAAGCATGGGTTTGCCCACATTCCTCGTCTCCAGACCTGTTGGGTGCTCCTGTGAGTGGCCTCTACATGTCTCTGTGCATAGGCACAAGTGGGCCAGGGCTGGAGAGACGTGGGAGGCCTCCTCGCCCAGTGGGCCCTGCCAATCTTAACCCAGAACCCCTGGTATTCCTGGCAGTAGCCATGACATTGGAACACCTTCCTCTCCAGCCCAGAGGCTGACCCGAGGGCCGCTGTCCTCAGAGGACACCACCCAGGAGCACCATAGGTGAGGGGTGAGGGCCCCTTTATGTGAACCTCTTGCCTCTTCCTTTCTCCCATCAGAGTAGTTGGATGGAGCCATTGGGCCTCCTTTTCTTCAGTGGGCCCTTCACCCTCTCTGCGCCATGTTGCCTGGCTGGGGAACTACAAGAAAAGCTGAGTGGAGTCTCCTTTCCAACAGGCTGATGCATTTGCTCAATTCTCAGGGCTAGAATGAGCCGGCTGGTCCCCCAGAAAGCTGGAGTAGGGTACAGAGTTCAGTGCACTTTCCCCCTCTGTTTCCAGCTCCTTGACAGTCCCACGCCCATCTGGATTGGGAGCTGGGAGTCAGTGTTGGAGAAAAGACAACAAAAGCCAACGAGAACCACTATTTTTTAAGAGGGCTTACTGTGCACAGCTACCCTTCAAAGCACTGGGTGTGGATTCTCTCTCTAGCCCTCAGCACCCCTGTGGTAGGAGTGCCACCTCTACCAGCTTGTGATGGGGCACAGAGGCACTTGCTCTTCTGCATGGTACTCAATACGCTGGGAGTTGTATTTATCTCTCTGAACTTTGTACAAGGGCTCATGGCTTGTCTTGGCTCGTCATTAAACCAAAGAAAATGGAAGCCATTCCCCTGTTGCTCTCCAAAGTCTTGGTCATCGGAACCTCACTTGGCACCATATAGATCAAAAGCTTTGTAACTACAGGAAAAAATAAACTCACCCACCCCTTAAAGAATACAATAGCTGGCCCCTCTCATGGGAATTGGGCTGTATGTATATTGTTCTTCCTCCTTAGAATTTAGAGATACGAGAGCTCTTAGAACTTTTCATGGATACAATTTCCACAACCTTTCAGATGCCAGTGTAAAGCTGTTGGGAAAGAATTTCCAAACTCAGGAAGTTTACAGAGAACAGACAGCTAGAGATAACTCGGGAACCAGAGTTGGTCGACAGATGTTAGATGTATCCTAGCTTTTAGCTACAAACCACTCAAAAGATTCTGTCCCCAGATCCCACAGTCAGAACTGGTTCTGGGTGGTTGGGAAGGCAGTGGTGGGCTGGGAAGGAACCACTGCTGTGGTTCAGAGGGGGTGGGCTGGCAAGCCACTTCCGGGTAAAACTCCTTCCGCCCCAGGTTTCTTCTTCTCTTAAGGAGAGATTGTTCTCACCAACCCTCTGCCTTCATGCTGCCTTCAAAAGTAGATCATGTTTGCCTTGCTTAGAGAATTACTGCAAATCAGCCCCAGTGCTTGGCGATGCATTTAGAGATTTCTAGGCCCTCAGGGTTTTGTAGAGTGTGAGCCCTGGTGGGCAGGGTTGGGGGTCTGTCTTCTGCTGGATGCTGCTTGTAATACATTTGGTGTACAGAATCAACAATAAATAATTTACATGGGCTGTGTGTGCTCTCTATGTGTCTTGGGTAGGGGGTCTCACACCTGTGGATTCTGCTCTTGCTATGTTTGTGTGAGGTTGAGCTGGACAGATCCTCACAGAAAGCAGATTCTGGGCTGAGAATAGGCCTTTGGAAAGTGAGTGGGAGGCCAGGCACGGTGGCTCACACCTGTAATCCCAGCACGTTGGGAGGCCAAGGTGGGTGGATCACCTGAGGTCAGGAGTTCAAGACCAGCTTGGCCAACATGGCAAAACCCCATCTCTAGTAAAAATACAAAAATTAGCTGGGCATGGTGGTGTGTGCCTGTAATCCCAGCTACTCGGGAGGCTGAGGCAAGATAATGGCTTGAACCTGGGAGGCAGAGCCGAGATGGCGCCACTGCACTCCATCCTGGGAGACGGGAGACAGTGCGAGACTCCATCTCCAAAAAAAAAAAAAAAAAAAAAAAAAAAAAAAAGAAAGAAAGAAAGAAAAGAAAATGAGTAGGGACCAAAAAGAAAATAACAAATGGTATCTATAGGCCACTGTGACTGGAAAAGACCTGAAGAATAAGTTCAACCCATTTTATAGATGAGGAAAAGGAGCTCAAGACAGGAAATGAATGTCCTATAGTCACCCAGTAAGCCAGTGGCTGAGCCAGCCCTGCAACCCAGGCCTCAGGCTCCCAGGCTAGTTCTTTTATGCCACCAGGAAGGCACTGACGTTCAGTCAGCATTTGTTCAAAGCACACGCGTGTATGCACACACACACATGCACGCAGGCAGGTGGCAGGACTAGCTTGCACACCTCTGGACTCCGATAAGTACTTAGCACCAGGCTCAGGAAGTTCCAGGCTCTCAAGCGACAGTGTCTGAAGGAAGGTGACTCCCTCCAAGTGTCCAGGCATCCCCAGAACTCCCTCAGGCCTCTGGGTTCCAGGGGTGCCACAGCTGCTGGTGCAGGCCCAGCAGGTAAGAGAGGGGTGATCTGCTGTCCCTGTCCCTTTATCCCACGATTATACCCAGGAAAAGGGCTTCCAATCATATTTACCTGGACTCTTCTAGCGCCTTAGATCCCTTCTGCCAGGTGGAAGCCTGTCTTAGGAGATGAAGCCCGACAGGGGTCAGTCATGTTCACCATATTACGGGGCTCGGCCCCTTCGATGAGCGGGGGTGGGGGGCTTGGTCCTTCCCTAGCCACTGAACTTTAGTACACTCGAACAGCTTTCTGGAATTTTGGATAATGGGGAAAGGAGTTAGAATCTCCATCCCTTCTCTTTCAGAAAATTCTTGGAATTGTTTTATTTGTTTGTTTGAGGCAGAGTCTCGTTCTGTTGCCAGGATGGAGGGCAGTGGCGCGATCTCGGCTCACTGCAACCTCCGCCTCCTGGGTTCAACCGATTCTCCTGCCTCAGCATCCCTAGTTGCTGGAACTACAGGCATGCACCACGACGCCCAGCTAATTTTTGTATTTTTAGTAGAGACAGGGTTTCACCACGTTGGCCAGGATGGTCTCGATCGCCTGACCTCGTGATCTGCCCGGCCTCCCAAAGTGTTGGGATTACAAGCGTGAGCCACCTCGCTTGGCCAATCCTTGGAATTTTTAATGCAAGTCCCCTTCCACAGATGTTTCACCCTACACACACACACACACATGCTCTCTCTCTCTGTCTGTCTCTCTCTCTCTCCTACCTCCCCAGGCCTTCTGCCACACCCATTCCGCAGACCAGAATGCAGAGGCTTGTAGAGATTAAATCACTTGTCTAAGGACTGACGAGTTAGTTGAAGAGTCAGAATTCAAACCCAGATCTGTCCAATGCCATATTTCTCTTGTTCACCAGGCCACGCTGACCAATGGACAAACGGTGTTGCTGGAGGTGAGTGTGGATGGCTTGAGAACCTTGAGTACAGGGCAGTGCCAGGCTCTTCCCAGACCTGCTTGTGAGTGCCCCCACGCAAGCCATTTTTCCCAGCCACTGTCCCGCCCTTGCCAGCCTGGGGGCCACCGAGGGGGAGCTGGGCACAGGGGGAGCTTTGTTCACCGCCTTTCTCCATCCCAGAGGCTCCTGCTCTCCTCTGCCAGGTGCATTTGTGGTATATTGCCACTGAAACACACTTCCTTGCCACACCCAATTAGACCTTTGCAGTTTGGCTGATGCAATCAGCTCACGTGCAAAAGAAACATTATTTTGCACTCATAAAAAGTGTGAGATAAAAATACCATGCAATGAGTGAAAAAGCCATCAGTCTACTTTAAATGGTAGACTCCTGGCACTGAAACGATGTTAGATTTGCTCGTCCAGGTCACTTCACCCTGCACACCTTCACACACACACTCCTACGCTCTCACCACACACCCACACACCCTCACTCTCACACTCAATGCACACACACACCCACTCACCACACACCCACACATCCTCACTCTCACACTCAATGTACACACACACCCACTCACCACACACCACACACATACCCCGACACATACCTCCTGCACACACACACACACCCACTCGCCACACACCACACACCCATACACACTGCACACACACCCACTCACCACACACCACACACACCCACACACCCTCACTCTCACATTCAGTGCATACTCACACCCACTCACCACACACCACACACACACCCCAACACACACACCTACTGCACACTCACACACCCACTCATCACACACACCACACACCCACACACCCTCACACTCAGTGCATACTCACACACCCACTCACCACACACCCTCACACACTCACTGCAGACTCACACACACTATGCTCTCACCACACACCCCCACATACCCTCACACTCACAGTGCACACTCACACACCCACTCACCACACACATATACCCCGATGCACTCACACTCACCTACTGCACTCACACACACACCCACTCACCACACACCCACACACCCTCACACTCACACTCAGTGCATACTCACACACCCACTCACCACACGCACCACATACCTACACACTGCACATTCACACACCCACCACACACCCCACACACACACTGCACACTCACACACATCCACTCACCACACATCACACCCACACACACTGTGCACACTCACTCACCACACACATATACCCTGACACACTCACCTACTGCACACTCACACACACCACACACCTTCACACACACACTGCACACTCACACACATCCACTCACCACACACATCACACACCCACACACACTGTGTACACTCAGACACTCACCACATACATATACCTCGACACACTCACCTACTGCACACACACCCACTCACCACGCACACCACACACCCCACACCCTCACACTCACTGCACACTCACACCCACTCCTATGCTCACTACACACCCACACACACTCAGTGCACACTCACACACCCACTCACCACACACACACCATGACACACACCTACACACTCACACACACCCACCACACACCACACACTCACACATATATGCTGACACATTCACACCTACTGCACACACACCCACTCACCACACACCCACACTCACTGCACACTCATACCCACTCACTGCATACACCCTGACACACACACCTACTGCATGCACACGCATTCACCACACCCCCCACACACTGCACACTAACTGCACACGCACACACACACGACACACCACACACACCACATGCACTCATACACCCAACACACTCATCCCTCACCTATCCACACTCACCATACACACACTGACTCGCACATACAGCCAAACACACATATTCACCACACAGTTACATATACAACCCCCCCACCACACATGCACACATACACCCCACACACACCACACACACCATCCCCACACACTCATCACACACACCCACACACATTCATCACGCCCACACACACCACTCACAATCACACACATTCACCACACACCCACCCCCACTCATCACACATTTTCTCACACACTCTCATACTACACACACACACATACCCACTCACACTCACCACACACACCCCTATACCCATTCACACACCCACTCACACACCCACTCACACATACACCCACTTACACACACACCCCACACCTACACACATGCACTCACCACACACCCCTACACCCACACACACACCCACTTACCCACTTACACATCCCCCACACCCACACACATGCATTCATTACACACCGCTACACCCACACACACATACACCCCTATACCCACTCACACACACACCCACTTACCCACTTACACATCCCCCACACCCACACACATGCATTCACTACACACCGCTACACTCCCACACACATACACCCCTATACCCACTCACACACACACCCACTTACACACACACCCCCACACCCACACACATGCATTCACTACACACCCCGACACCCCCACACACATACACCCCTACACCCACTCACACACACCCACTCACACACTTACACACACACCCCCCACACCCACACACATGCACTCACCATACACCCCTACACCCACACCCACACACCCCTACACCCACTCACATACACCCACTTACACACACACCCCACACCCACACACGCTCACCACACACCCCTACACCCACACACACATACACTCCTACACCCACTCACACACCTACTCACACACCCACTTCACACACACCCACACGCACGCACTCACCACACACACACTTCGCGTGTCCTGCAGCCCTGGTTCCACACCTCCAGAGACGGGAAACTCCCTCCCTTCCAAAGCCGCATCTTTCATCCTGGGACAGCCCTGAGTGTGTGAGCGCTCCTCTCCACATTGGGCCCCAATTCATCTCCCTATAGCTTTTCACCCTTCTAACCCAGGAAGGGTTTAGAGAATTCATTCATTAAACAAACACAAGACAAAGCAACAAATCCACAGCCCTCTTGGAGTGCCTCCGGGCGCTGAGAGCAGAGCAGGGCCCCGAGGCTGAGGGCAGGCTCCCAGTGCTTCTGCCTCTGCCCACGGGGGTGGGTGTGAACGTGGACCCCATCCCAGGCCTCACCAACCCAGCCGCCTGCGGGTGTCTCTAGGGCTTGCTGTGTCCCTGGGGTCCTGAAGGTACCAACCCTGCAACCTCGGTGGGATTTTGGCCCCGCGAGGGCTCTGTAGGTGGGAGGAGTTCAGGGTCGTTTTGTAATCTTCAGAGGCCTTGCCAAGGCCGTCTCCCGTCCTGTGACCCTGGTGACATTCTGGGACGCTGGGGCCACGTGAGGGGAGGAACCGCTGCCTGGAACTTTGATCAGCGCTGGGGCTGGATTGAGCTGACCACAGGCCACACCAGACTCCTCTCTGCTCCTCAGGAAGACAGGGCAGCCCGGCGCCACCCGCTCGGCCTCACGGTAGGCTCCTGGGCTCGCTAAAGGGCTCCTGGGTCTGCAGGGACAAGGGGGCAGGAACGGGAACTTGCGGTCTCCCCGTTTCAGAGCGTTCCCCAGCTCCAGGCAGGCTGCCGTTCCAGGGGGCCCCTGCCCTGGGAGGAGAAGTCCCCCAGGTGCTCGGCCAGGGCCCTGCTGGGAAGAGGCAGGAGGCAGGTGGGGCGGGGGCGGGGGTTGTGAGATGAGAACCAGCCGGTCCCGGCCTGCAGGGAGCTAGTAGTGAGTAGAAGATAAGCAGGGTGACCAGATGTCCAGGTTGGCCTGGTTCTGCCTAGTTTATACTTGTCATCTTGGCATAACAATAATAAATAGTATTACTGATTATTTATTAATATTATATTAATACTAAATATTATTAATTAATATAATTATTGTTGTTTTTCGAGATGAGGTCTTGTTATGTTGCTCAGGCTGGTCTTGAACTCCTGGCTTCAAGCGATCCTACCACCCAGCCTGCTGAGTAGCTGGGATTACAGCGCATACCACGGCACCCAGCTCAGGCCCGAGGATGACTAGCTCCTCGTTTCCCTCCCAGAAGCCTGCTGGCTCATATGATAAAGTTTATGGTCATATAAACCTGCAGGGAGCCACCTTTTATTGAATATTCAGTATTTGCCAGGCACTGTGTTAAGGGCTTTGTATTTACTCTCTTATTTAGCCTGTCTATTATCCAGTGGAGTGCTAATTTTAACCCTGAGGGCAGAGGTGATAATTAACGGTGGAAAACCTGAGGCTTAGAGTGTTGGAGTGATTTGCCCAAGCCCACATGGCTCGTAGGTGATGGCATCAGAATCTGATCCCAGTTTGTGGCACTGGCGGAGCTGACGTGTTTTCCCCTGCCACTAAGCAGGATGAGAGTCAGGCCTGAGATGCGAAGTCACTGACAGCCACCAAACACATTCCCTTCAATTCAGCACACAGAGCCTGGCTGCCTTCTCAGTGCCCAGCCCTGAGCCGGGTGCTGGGGTGCAGAGCTGCTTGCAGAGACGCCACAGCAAGCCTGCAGCACCACGGGCTCACTCGGATGGGTGCAACTGAATAGAAAACAGCGGAAGAGGGCAACATTCAACACAGTACAAGAGGGATCTGAGGACCCAAGAAAGGGTCGGGCGCGGTGGCTCACGCCTCTAATCCCAGCACTTTGGGAGACCAAGGCGGGTGGATCACCTGAGGTCAGGAGTTTGAGACCAGCCTGGCCAACATGGGGAAACCCCATCTCTACTAAAAATACAAAAATTAGCCAGATGTGGTGGCAGGTGCCTGTAATCCCAACTACTCGGGAGGCTGAGGCTGGAGAATCGCTTGAACCTGGGAGGCGGAGGTTGCAGTGAGCCGAGATGGCATCACTGTACTCTAGCCTGGGCGACAAGAGTGAAACTCTATCTCAAAAAAAAAAAAAAAAAAAAAAAAAAGAAGAAGATAGTCAAGGAAGGCTTCATGGGGGAAGTGTGACGTCCACTGGCCTGAGAGGGTGGGTATAAATTGGGAGGGTCGCACAGTGCCCAGTTCACAACCGCCTCTTAGTTCAACCTGTCAGCTGTCGTCTCTTCCAGAAGCTAACACGGCTGATAGACAAGCTCCCCTGGGCCTTTGCAACATCACTTTCAGGAAGGAAAGAGTCAAGTAAGCCCCTACTATGTGTGTGGAACTGTGCTGTGCATTTTACACATTTATCTCGATATTTAGAATAAAATAGGTTTCAACCTTACCGCAAAAGTGATATGTTTCTTTCGTAAAAATGTGGAACATACATTTTTAGGCAGAAGGAAAAAATAAAAATCATCCACGATTCGCTTTTTCAGAAGTAATGACCACAATTTTTTTTTCCTTTGAGACAGAGTTTCATTCTTGTTGCCCAGGCTGGAGTGCAGTGGTGCGATCTCAGCTTACCGCAACCTCTGCCTCCCGGTTTCTAGCGATTCTCCTGCCTCAGCCTCCTGAGTAGCTGGGATTACATGCGTGTGCCACCATGCCCAGTTAATTTTTGTATTTTTGGTAGAGACGGGGTTTCACCATGTTGTCCAGGCTGGTCTTGAACTCCTGATCTCAGGTGATCTGCCCGCCTTGGCCTCCCAAAATGCTGGGATCACAGGTGTGAACCACAGTGCCAGACCCCACCACAAATATTTGGTGCATAAGCTTCTATTGTGTTTTCTGTGCACAAATACACCTTAAACATGGAAAAGTAGCATTCCGAGACTTCATATATTTCACTTAAGATATTGCAAGCATCTTGTCAATAAATACACATCTGTAATAAATTTTCTTTTTGTTTAAAATTTTATTTTTTATTCTATTTTTTTTGAGACAAGGTCTCCCCCTGTTTCCCAGGCTGGAGTGCGGTAGAGCAATCACCACTTACTGCAGCCTCGACCTCCCGGGCTCGAGCCATCCTCCCACCTCAGCCTCTCAAGTAGCTGAGACTACAAGCATGCACCACTGTGCTTGGCTAATTTTTATAATTTTTTTGTAGAGCTGAGCTGTTACCATGTTGCCCAGGCTGATTTCAAACTCCTGGCCTCAAGCGATCCTCCTGCCTCCGCCACCCAAAGTGCTGGGATGACAGGCAGGAGCCACTGAACCCAGCCTATAATATAGTTTTAAAGATAGCGGAGAAGGTTTCCATTATCTCCGTGTAGCATGATTCATGTAACCAATCCCTCATGTTGGACATTTAGGTTGTTTCTATTTTGTTGCTGTGGCCCGATGCCTGTTACCTCATTTAAGAGCCACAATAGCCCTAACAATGCTATGATTGAGGTATTATGATGGTTATTGTTATCGTGGTCGTTCTGGGTTTACAGACGCCGAGGCTGGGGCTCTGAGAGGTGGCTTCACTCCCTGGGACACAACTGGGCCGCAGATGGGGTGGGCTGGCCAGGGCAGGAGCAGAGGCTGGGACCCGGCGCAAGCCCGACCGCCTCAGCCATTGGACTTATGTTGCTGGACTGAGAAGAGAGGGGACCAGGTTTGGGGAGCGGCAGGTCTCAGCCATTGGACTTATGTTGCTGGATTGAGAAGAGCGGGGACCAGGTTTGGGCAGTGGCAGGTCTTCTTAGAGGACCAGATGAGGCAGCCAGGGACTCTGGACGAGTCTCAGAAGCCCCTCTTTGTGCTTCCAGCTGAGCTGGAGCCCAAGTGGCCAAATCCAGGCCCGCTGGCGAGGCAGACATCCGTGGAGCCAGCGTCAGGTAGCAGTCCCTGGGTGTCTGGGGCCAGGGTTCTAGGCCCCATTCTAGGTCCCATCCGCCTCTGGAAGAAGTGAGGCTTAGCTCTGTGGTGGATGACAGACTGGCTGGAGGCATGCACAGAGATGTACCCTCCCAAGAGCAATCTGAGGAGAGGAAGGAGCTCGTTTGCACCCAGCCAAACCCTCCCTCTCCCCCAAAAAAAACCATTTAAAAAGCCAGACTTCTTGGCTTGCCGAAAGTGTGGAACATTTTTGTGGGCATTTGCTGGTCTTATTCCCAGACGAGGAGCAGAAAGCCTCTGGCTGCCGCCCCGCTGTGGCCCTTGGGACCAGCCTCCATGGTTCCCAGGGAGGGGCGGTTCCGTCTCCAGAGCTCCCCAGTGACCTGCTTTCTTGAGGGCAGGCTGGGGAAGCGGCCCAAGTCCAAAGCCTCCCAGCCAGAGCCCTCAGAATCTGTGCTCCCCTAAACCTTCTAGCTCTTTCCCTTGGCTGGAGGAAAGCGCTAGGAGGAGTGCTGTGGAGCGGTGTCTCACTGGCCCACAGGGGGGTGGTTGGATGGTCTCATGGGTTTCTGCCTAGCGAACCCGTGACTGATTCAGCACAGAGCTGGGGCTGCACTGCTCGGAATATCGGGGTCACTAACGTTGCCGAGCACTTGCCATGTGCCAGGGCCTGAGCTTGGAGCTTTTCATGCATTTTCTCATTCCATCCTCACAACATCCCCACCAGGAAGGTAGTACTGTGCTCACTGTTTTGAAGAGGAGGAAAGTGAAACACAGAGAGGTTAAGCCATGCAGTCAAAGCCACAGAGCTAAGCTGGAGGGGAGTTAGGATTGAACCCAGGCTGTCTGACTCGTCGCCACTCCAGAGTGAGGTGAGGGGGCTCGGGCGGGGCGTGGACCGTCTGCAAACTGTCAGTGTTCTGCGCCCTCACTGTGAAATCGTCCCTGCCTCCCCGCCTCCTGCCCCAGTAGACCCAGGCAAGAGGGGTCTTGCCCTGAACTTAGAGGGCCCTGTTCTGGCCCTCCTCCCCCCATGATACCACCCCCAAGGGGTGCCGGCGGCACATGCCCATCTGGAGGCTGTGCCCCCATTTTAAACCACGGTCTGGGTACCCAGAACCCCAGTCTGTGTGGGCTGCCTCCCTGGGTCCGTCTTCCCTGGGTTGACCATGCCCCAGAAGTGCACAATCTTCGGCCTGTGGGGTGCCGAGGGGCGATGTGTGTGGGGTCTCCACTCACAGTGCAGGAGAGTCGGGGGGAAGAGAAGGGAACAGACAATGGGTGGAGTTCCAGGTAGACGACGTTCTCCCTGGGACCTGCAGGTACGAGGAGCGGGCCTGCCCACCCCACCCACTCCACTGCCCTGGGACAGCCTGGTGGTGTCATGGCAAGGACCCCGCAGAGCCCGGGCTGTCGGGACTGGCCCTGGCCCCTCGCTTCTGTGTGTGTGCCCTGGGGCCAGTCGCTGTAGCTCTGGGGGCCCCAGTCTCCCTGTCCTGGGCACTTCTAGGTTTGTGCTGAGGATCAAGATGTATGTGCGGGAGCTTTGGGAACCGGCAGGCGGGAACTGACCCCTCAGCCAAGCCCCCGCATCACGGAGCTGCCTCTCCCTCTGCCTGCGTCTCCCCAGCCGTAGCTGATTTGCCTGCACTTGACTTTCTGTGCCACCAGTGCCATGGTTTTGGTTCAAGGCTTGAATCCTAGAGCTCCTTCCTTTGTTGGAAATGTGAGAAGCACATTCTTTCTAAATGACAGTGGATTAAAAGTGAGAGGCGCAGACCCAGGGAGGCCTGGGAGCACTCAGCTTGCTCAGCAGAGAGGTACACTCCCCCCAGCGGGCTTGAGCGTCCCACGGTGCAACTCCGGCTTTGGCCTGTTTTCCTGGCAGGAGTGATGAACAAAACCAGGAGATCTGGGCGCCACAAGCCAAGCCCTGCTGTGAAGAGCCCGGGGCCTTGCCTCACTCTCCCTGCGAGGAGGCCGGATGGTCTCGGGACCTGCAAGCCCCAGCATTATCTGGCCCATCGTTCCAGGGGAGTACTTTCTGGAAATAGCCTTTGAGAAACAATGACCAATGGGGCTAGCAAGGGAGGGGGACTGGCACCATGATGATATTACTGCATGTTAAAAATCAGAACTCACCAGGCACAGTGGTGTACGCCTGTAGTCCCAGCCACTCTGGAGGCTGAGGCAGGAGGATCACTTCCATCCAGGGGATTGAGGCTGCAGTGAGCTATGATCGTGCCACTGCATTCCAGCCTGGATAATAGAGTGAAGTTCTGCCTCAAAAAATAACAAAATTAAACACAATTGCTCCCCTCTTACTCTCGGGAGGAATCGAGGCGGCTCTGGCAGCCTGGCTGGGGGTTGCTCATTCTGGGGTTGCCCATCCCAGGGGAGGTGGCTCTGCCTCCCACGCTGCTCTTCGCAGCCTTGGAGAGCTCCATTCAACAAAACCTGCCTGAGCCCAGAGGAAGTCACTGCTGCTCTGGGCATAGACAGACGAGTACACGGAACAGACTGCCATGAAAACCCATCATTTTGGTGCCTATACTGAGTGTTAAAGTGGAGACACGTTCTCCAGGTCCTCCTTCCTAGGGTCCAGGGCGGCTTCTTTCAGGACCCCTAGGGGCTTTGCGTAGGTGCCTCAGGGGCAGGCCAGGTGCTAGTGGCAGCTGTGTGCCTGTGTGGTGTGTGTCGGGGGACAGTGGCTACCCCAATCCTCTTCAGCCAGGTCCACTGCTTTCTGTTTCTAGTCTCATGCTAGCTCTGTAGCTGGGGTCTAGGGACACAGAGCCAGGAGGCACACGCTTGCCTGAGGCTTGTTCCATTCCCTCACATGTCCTAAGTGGCAAGGACATTTTCCTTTTCCTGGAAGAGGTGATTGCAGAAGTCAGATTGTATTTATTTATTGATGAGATGGAGTCCAGCGCCCAGGCTGGAGTGCAGTGGCACGATCTCGGCTCACTGCAACCTCTGCCACCCGGGTTCAAGCGATTCTCCTGCCTCAGCCTCCTGAGCGCCCAGGCTGCAGTGCAGTGGCACGATCTCGGCTCACTGCAACCTCTGCCACCCGGGTTCAAGTGATTCTCCTGCCTCAGCCTCCTGAGTAGCTGGGATTACAGATGTGTGCCACCACATCTGGCTAATTTTTGTAGTTTTTAGTAGAGACGGAGTTTCACCATCTTGGCCAGGCTGGTCTGGAACTCCTGACCTCATGATCCACCTGCCTTGGACTTTCAAAGTGCTGGGACTAGAGGTGGAGCTCTCCAGCCGCTCACACCAGGCGGGTGTACGCCCAGCCGCAGGAGTCAGATTCTAATCCCAGGCCAGCGGTTATTACTGGTAGAGACTTTCCTTACCGCCTCCCCAAGCTCACTTAGCTATGCATGCCTTAGAGCAGCCGAAAGGAAGGTGTGCATTTTCTCAGGGAGAAGTTGTTCCTTCTCTACTGATGAGGCAGAACATTCCTGGAAGGGCTGAGAGTCACTGAGTGACTGAGTGGGAGAGTAAAGGGGGCTCCCCTAAGCACTGGGTCCTAAGCCTATGAGTTTAATGGGAGACCTTCAGCCAGAAGCAGAATCTCCAGGTGGAGGAGGCACCAGCAGAGGGCAGCAGAGAGACAGCCAGCGAAGAGGGCTTGGTACCCAGATTCTGCAACTGGGGAACCCCTTTCGCAGACCCCTTTTACTGAGAAGTTAATTAAGAAAAATTAGGAGTATGTTGTGAAAGGGCTTCTTTCTTTTTTTAATTGTTGGTACATTCAAGTGTATTCCGTCTAAAGAGCATTTTGTTTTTAATTTTTTTTTTTTTTGGTGTTCAAATAACGTTTTCTATAATAAGGTAGCTTGCAACCTTTAACGATAGTTAATGAGGTTGATTAATTACTCACTCTATGCCAGATCCTGATGTAAAACTGTTACCTATATGTACTCACTTAATCCCTAACAATTACCCTCATGTGGTAGGGACTATTATAATCCCCATTGTACAGATAAGGAAACTGAAGCACTGATGGATTAAGCAACAAGCCCAAGGTCACGTAGCTGGAAAGCGATGGACCTAAGATTTGAACTCATGGAATTAAGAGCACTCCAAGCCATGTGAATAAGTGCTGTGCGTGGGAACAGGGGCGGCCTGGAGGGCACACACCCTCTAACAGGGCAGGGGCCACGAAGCCCCAGCTGGTCTTGCTACGTGGAAAGGTGGACCCACTGTCCCCAGTTCACTCTGAAACCTAGACCTTTACCGTGACGTTTTCCAATTTTTACATGTTGGCTACTGATTCGTATATGAAAAATGTCACTGAGGAATAAAGAAAACGTACTTGTGAGGTGTATCACCAATCTGTGACCTGTGAGTAGATGCTAGAAAATCTACTGTTTTTTAAATTTTTTTAAAAAAACAGTAAAGAAAATCTAAAGAATTTTGGAGCATTTTAAAGAAATCTACTGTTCTGTAGAATCCCCAGGTCTGGGGTCCTTCTGTCCACATGACGTTGGAAAGCTCCTCGGGCCCCGCCGTGGAGGAGTGGGCACAGGTGGGCAGGGGGAGCGCATTTCAGCAGCAGTTCGAGAAGCCATCTCGTCTCTGTGGCTGCCCTCCCCCTCCACCAACTGTGCAAAGAGCAGGTGCCGGGATCTCCGCATCATTTGGCTCTGATGTGTGCTGAGATATGGAAACTCAGGAAGAGTTATGGTCTAGGAACTTCCAACTCAGGAATAATCTGTCCATATCCTATATATTATCTTTGAAAATGCCACAATGCCCATGGTCTCCTTTTATGCCTCTCTTCCATGCCTTTTTGTCTCTTTTCCGCTTCTTTCCCCAATCTGGAAAGAACACAGGAAGCCCCAAAGCCCTGCGTCTTTGTCCTGCCGCATGTTCGAGCTCGCGGTCCAGTGCCCTGGTCACTGTGCCATGCTGTGTGATGATCAAGTTTCCCTTCCTGTTTTCTCTCCATCCTCGAATCTAGAAGATGCTCCCTGGAGCCTGGCTGCTCTGGGCCTCCCTCCTGCTCCTGGCCAGGCCTGCCCAGCCCTGCCCCGTGGGTTGCGACTGCTTCGTCCGGGAGGTGTTCTGCTCAGACGAGGAGCTGGCCGCCATCCCGCCGGACATCCCGCCACACACCACAAACATCGTCTTTGTGGAGACCTCGTTCACTACGGTGGAAACCAGAGCCTTTGGCAGCAACCCCAACTTGACCAAGGTGGTCTTCCTCAACACTCAGCTCTGCCAGTTTAGGCCGGATGCCTTCGGGGGGCTGCCCAGGCTGGAGGACCTGGAGATCACAGGCAGCAGCTTCTTGAACCTCAGCGCCAACACCTTCTCCAACCTGACCTCGCTGGGCAAGCTCACCCTCAACTTCAACATGCTGGAGGCTCTGCTCGAGGGCCTCTTCCAGGACATGGCTGCCCTGGAGTCCCTCCACCTGCAGGGGAACCGGCTCCAGGCCCTGCCCAGGAGGCTCTTCCAGCCTCTGACCCATCTGAAGACACTCAACCTGGCCCAGAACCTCCTGGCCCAGCTCCCAGAGGAGCTGTTCCACCCACTCACCAGCCTGCAGACCCTGAAGCTGAGCAACAACGCGCTCTCTAGCCTCCCCCAGGGCGTGTTCGCCAGACTGGGCAGCCTGCAGGAGCTCTTCCTGGACAGCAACAAGATCTCGGAGCTGCCCCCTCGGGTGTTCTCCCAACTCTTCCGCCTGGAGAGGCTGTGGCTGCAGCACAATGCCATCACGCACCTGCCACTCTCCATCTTCGCCTCCCTGGGGAATCTGACCTTTCTGAGCTTGCAGGGGAACATGCTTCGGGTCCTGCCTGCCGGCCTCTTTGCCCACACCCCACACCTGGTCGGCCTGTCTCTGACCCATAACCAGCTGGAGACGCTCGCTGAGGGCGCCTTTGCCCACCTGTCCAACCTGCGTTCCCTCATGCTCTCATACAATGCCATTGCCCACCTCCCAGCTGGCATCTTCAGAGACCTGGAGGAGCTGGTCAAGCTCTACCTGAGCGGCAACAACCTGACAGCCCTGCACCCAGCCCTCTTCCAGAACCTGTCCAAGCTGGAGCTGCTCAGCCTCTCCAAGAACCAGCTGACTACACTTCCGGAGGGCATCTTCGACACCAACTACAACCTGTTCAACCTGGCCCTGCACGGCAACCCCTGGCAGTGTGACTGCCACCTGGCCTACCTCTTCAACTGGCTGCAGCAGTACACCGACCGGCTCCTGAACATCCAGACCTACTGCGCCGGCCCTGCCTACCTCAAAGGCCAGGTGGTGCCCGCCTTGAATGAGAAGCAGCTGGTGTGTCCCGTCACCCGGGACCGCCTGGGCTTCCAGGTCATGTGGCTGGACGACAACAAGGCAGGGGGCAGCTGGGATCTGGCTGTGTCGGAAAGGGCAGCCCGGAGCCAGTGCACCTACAGCAACCCCGAGGGCACCGTGGTGCTCGCCTGTGACCAGGCCCGGTGTCGCTGGCTGAACGTCCAGCTATCTCCTCGGCAGGGCTCCCTGGGACTGCTGTACAATGCTAGTCAGGAGTGGGACCTGAGGTCGAGCTGCGGTTCTCTGCGGCTCACTGTGTCTATCGAGGCTCGGGCAGCCGGGCCCTAGTAGCAGGGCATACAGGAGCTGGGGAAGGCGGCCTCTGGGGCCTGACCAGGCAACAGGTGGGGGCAGAGAGGAGCTGAGTCTCCGAAGCCTTGGCTTTTCACATGCAAGGGACAGGGTTGCACCCCCAAGATGAGGGAGTGGAGTCTGGTCTGCTCCACTAATCAGGGTCTCCTCCTCCCCCTCTTCCTTCATTGCTTCTCCTGGAGTGTGCGGCCTAACAAGGCCATCCTTATGCTTTGCAAAGCACCCTCGAAGGCTGCACCACGGCCTGGAGGATAAAATATCCTCAGCCCTGTTGCTTCCCCATTCTGTAACACCCACCCGCTCTCGCCCACACCTTGAGGTCTACTCACTGCATCCCAGAGATACAAAGTGGAGGCCACTGCCTTCTGATCTGGCTCACAAGCCCAATGTCTGTTTCAGTGTCTCTCCCTGAAATTGTGTTTTAAATTGGTATAGAGAAATAAAGGATGTGACAGACGCAGAGATGGTCAGAAAGCATAGGGGCAGGGTTCTGACTGGTGTGTGGGTGACCCTGTGGCCAGCACCCACCTCCACGCTGCGCCCAGGAGAAACAGATAAAACGAAGCCCCGGGAAGGGAAACGGCAGATGCTCGGCTTGTGACACAGAGCCCCCAGAGCGGAGGGTGGGTTCGCCTGCTCAGCACACAGGACGGCTGCTGCTGAGGAGGAGGAAAAGGTTTGAGGTGTAGGGGCAGCCTGGGCCGGCCGGGCGGCAGCTTCATTCTCACAGCAGCTGAGTACAAGCGGCTCACTCACTAGCGTTGTTCTCCCTTGTTTTTTCATTTTTTTCTTTTTTGAGATGGAGTTTCGCTCTTGTTGCCCAGGCTGGAGTGCAGTGGTGCGATCTTGGCTCACTGCAGCCTCCACCTCCCATGTTCAAGCAGTTCTCCTGCCTCCGCCTCCCGAGTAGCTGGGATTACAGGCACCAGCCACCACACCCGGCTAATATTTGTAGTTTTAGTAGAGACGGTGTTTCATCACCATATTGGTCAGGCTGGTCTCAAACTCCTGACCTCAGATAATCCACATGCCTCAGCCTCTCAAAGTGTTGGGATTACAGGCGTGAGCCACCGCACCCGGCCTCTTACCCAGCTCGGCCACCCCTGCAACCCTCCTGGGCCACCTCCTGCAGCTTCATCTCAGGGATCGCTGCCCTCCCATGCCCTGGGCAGCCTCCCATGCACCCCTGTGTGGATGCCTCTTCTTTGGCAATGAGCCCAGCTCTCCTCTGTGCTCGGCTCTTTTCAGGCCCAGGCTGATACCCCCTGCACAGAGCCCCATGTCCTCCTGTTGACCACAGACACGTCTAACAAGGCTCTGTCCCCTACTCCCCCTGATTCTCATCAGCGCATTGACCAGCCCAGGAGCTGGGCGTGTTCTCCACTCACTCCTCCCCTTCAGTCCTCAGAGCCAAGGAGTCCCCGAATGCTCAGGCTTCCAGCCTCTGAGCCTCCCTCTAGCTGCTCCTCCCCTTCTGCTCCCAGATGCTTTGTAGCCCTGGGCTGAGCCACTGCACAGCCTTCTGCCTGGCTTCCGGCTGTATTGTGGCTGGCCTGGGAAAAAGGCTCGGGCAGGGAGGGAGAAGGGAACCAGACGTACAGCAGGCCCCCAGGAGCTCCTGGCCACCGGGAGAAATCAGCCACATGGGATGAAAACACAAGGCAGAAAGGTCAGCACAGGCCAGTGTTGGGAAGTTCAGAGGAGGTGAAGCAGCGGGAAGCACTGGCCACGAGAAAGGCTGCATTGGATCTTGGGCCTTAAGAAGGGCTCCGGGGAGAGCTGGAAACTTGTGCAAGAAGAGCCTGAGCTAAGGGATGAGGAAGGGCAAGGACGAGGGGTCAGGGCTGTGGAAGGGGGACGAGGAGGAAGACATAAGGCTGGAAGCCCAGACGGAGCTGATTCTGCAGGGCCCTGGGGTGGAGGGAGGAGTGTGCGTGTTGATGAAGGGGGCCCCAGGCAGTTACTGAAGGTCATGCAGAAGAGGGGGCAAGACTCCCAAATTCACTTGGTTTAAGAATGACCTTGCCCAGACCCTTCCAAGACTGGGGATCTTGGCCGTGGGCTCTGGCTCCCGCCTGGATGTGTTGCCACTCTCTGGGAAAGTGACTCCATGTCTAGCACGTAGCAGGAGCTTCGGAAATCCCCATCGCCCGAACTCCTGTCTGAGCAACAGACACGTACTGTCCGCTGGCAGGGATAAAGGGATAGGAAAATCCAGCAGATATTTCTCTCAATTAAATTTTCTCCTCAAAACATAACCCTGCGTTAAATTACAACATCAGAATTTTTCTCTGCCAAATGATGTTGGGGAAACAGCATGGCCAACAGCCAGCTCAGGCCGAGGAGAGATGGGCGAAGAAGCAGCTCCCGACGTGCCCTGCTCCCCAGGGCGCCTCATGCCCCGTCTCCTGGTGATGTGTCTGGTCTGGCCCAGCATTAACGTTTTCCATGGGTTCTGGACTAGAACTCAGCACACGCAGATCCCACACCGCTTTGCTTTTCTTTTTTTTTGAGACAGAGTTTCACTCTTGTTGCCCAGGCTGGAGTGCAATGGCGTGATCTTGGCTCACCGCAACCTCCACCTCCCGGGTCCCGGGACAAGCAGTTCTCCTGCCTCAGCCTCCTGAGTAGCTGGGATTACAGGCACATGCCACCACACTCAGCTATTTTTTTTTTTTTGTATTTTTAGTAGAGACAGGGTTCCCATGTTGGCCAGGATGATCTCGAACTCCTGACCTCGTGATCCGCCCGCCTCAGCCTCCCAAAGTGCTAAGATTACAGGCGTGAACCACCGCGCCCGGCACCCACACCTCTTTTCTTCACATTCTTCAGCCTTTGGCAAATTGCAGCTCCTCTCTGGGCCCCAGTTTCCTCCTCTATATAAGAAGGAGATTGGCTCTCAATGCTGGTTGAACCCTTGGGGAGGCTTTTAAAAACCGGTAATGACAAAAAGCAAAACGCCAGTGCCTGGGGCCCATTTTCTGAGATTCTGATTCAATTAGCCAGAATCTCTGGCGGTCGCGTGACCAGAAAAAGGTCTCAATCCAGACCCCGAAAGAGGGTTCTTGGATCTCACGCAGGAAGGAGGTCAAGGCAAGTCACTGAGTGCAGTGAGAAGAGACATTTTATTGAAAGCTACTCCCTTACAGGGCAGGGCGTCTTCAGAAGGCAAGCAGAGGAACGCGTTGCCTTTAAGTTTTTCTTATATAGGGGCCTTGTCTATGAAAGACTAAACTCAGCTGTGACTACATGTGGATGGCTGATACCACATGACAACATTTATTATTTTATTGATTTAAAGGAAACGATCCTTGACATTCAGCATATGTAAGCACATCAAAGCATAACTATAATTTTCCTGAAAGCGTATATTGCTATGGGTGTTGACGAAAAGAGTCAAACTCTGTGAAATATTTTAAGAGATTTATTCTGAGCCAAATATGAGTGACCATGGCTCATGACACAGCCCTCAGGAGGTCCCGAGAACGTGCCCAAGGGGGTCTGGTGCAGCTTGGTTTCATACATTTTAGGGAGGCAGGAGACATCAGTCAGACACATTTAAGAAATACATTGGTTTGCTTCAGAAAGGCAGGACAACCCGAAGCCAGTGGGGGGCTTCCAGGCTGTAGGTAAATTTAAACATTTTCTGGTTGACAATTGGTTGAGTTTAGCTGAAGACCTGGGATCAATGGAAAGGAATGTTCAGGTGAGAATAATGATTGTGGAGACCAAGTTTTATAGCGCAGAGGAAGCCCTCAGCGGACTTCAGAGAGAGAGAGATCTTATCTGACCTAAAAGGGTGCCTGGCTCTTAGTTGATGATCTCCTGGATCTGGAAAGAAAGGAAGGAAAACAAATGGGAAAGGGATTCTCTATAGGACATGGATTTTCCCACAAGAGACTCTGCAGGGCAATTTCAAGGCAGGGCAAGGAAATATATTTTGGGGGTTAAATATTTTTTCCTGATTATGCCATAATCAGATTAAAAAGTAAGTCACGATATACAGGGTCAAATAAAACCCATCTGATGAGAATTTATGATTTGTAAGGCGCAACTCCCCAGACCCCTTAGGTAGGAATTTGGGGAAGATGAAAAATCAGAGCTTAGTCCTCATGGGTACTGGGACACCTGGACGCTCTGTGGTTGTAGGAGTTTGTCCTTGCGTCTTTGCAGGCCATTGTCGAGCTGCTTCCTTAGCTGTAAACATCTCAGGACCATGGGTCGTGATTGGCAAGGAATGTGCCTTGCTAGCTTCAAGATGGAGTTGATTTTCAGGTGATCTTACTCTTTCTCTTTTAGGCTCTTGCTTGTCTAACACTGGGGTTACCCAGATATCGTTTTGTTTAAGTCTCCCCCAGCGATTCTAACACATGGCCAGGGTTGAAAATTTAGGGCAGAATTTTGTCTCAGGCACTGTCCAGGGCTAGGTTCAGTGTAATTTGCACTGGGCAATGCTAGCCTCCTCACACCCACCTGGTGTCTGCTCTGGGTGGATTCATGAATGAAACAAGTGACAAACATCACGTATAAAAATATTGCATGGATTTTGTTTTTCTTTCCGGTTGATGTTTTTAATTTTTTTTTTTTTTTTGAGATGGAGTCTCGTTCTGTCACCCAGGCTGGAGTGCAGTGGCACGATCTTGGCTCACTGCAACCTCCACCTCCCTGGTTCAAGCAATTCCCCTGCTTCAGCCTCCCGAGTAGCTGGGATTACAGGCACACGCCACCACGCCGGGCTAATTTTTATTTTTTATTTTTTTGTATTTTTAGTAGAGATGGGGTTTTGCCATGTTGGCCAGGCTGGTCATGGACTGGCCTCAGGCAATCCGCTCGCCTCGGCCTCCCAAAGTGCTGGGATTCCAGGCATGAGCCACCACACCCGGCCAATGTTTTTAATTTTATCAGCATTGGTGCTCTCATAAATCTTGCATTTTTGAAGAAACAGCAGCTGGGGGTGCACTCTGCCTTGCTTTTTTTTTTTTTTTCTTTTTTTAGATGGAGTCTCCCTCTGTGGCCAGGCTGGAGTGCAGTGGCGCAATCTTGGCTCACTGCAACCTCTGCCTCCAGGGTTCAAGCGATTCTCCTGCCTCAGCCTCCCAAGTAGCTGGGACTACAGGCACGTGCCACCATGCCCAGCTAATTTTTGTATTTTTAGTAGAGACCGGGTTTCAACATATTGGCCAGGATAATCTTGATCTCTTGACCACGTGATCCGTCCGCCTCGGCCTCCCAAAGTGCTGGGATTACAGGCCTGAGCCACCGCGCCCGGCCTGCCTGTTTCTTACAGTAAAGGATGGCTAAGTCATTCCAAAGCTCTTCCTTCCAGCAGGCAGGACTCCCTTCCAGCAAGCTGTGAATGTTGTACCTTCTTTAGTGCTGTCCTGCTACTTGCCAGCCATGCAACCCTGGGCAAGTTACTCAGCTGTCTGTGGCTCAGCGTCCTCACCACACTTTTATCAC